AGAGAGAGAGAGAGAGAGAGAGAGAGAGAGAGAGAGAGAGAGAGAGGAAAAAAGATACGAGGAAAAGGAAACATGGGATGAACAAAAGCTGACTATCCGGTGGAAGTTCGAAAAAAAAGAAGAAAGAATAAGTTTGAGCAGTAATTGAAGTTTTGATAGGACTAGCCAAGTGAATGAAAAAGTGAGAGAAATGGAAGAGTGAGAGAAGAGTGGTGCGATAAAATCGCGAGAGAAAGAGAATGACACGTTATATGGGTGGACGGGAGAGGGGAGGGGGAGGGGAGGTTAAAATGTTGATGGGGATGGGTGCACGTGTGCGTGTACGTGCATACAATGTGTGTGCGTAGCGGAGGGAGAGAGGCGAGAGGACCACAGACTACGTATTGATCTCGGCCAACGTAGAGCTCTCGCATAAAACAGGGCAGCTACGTCGACGTTGATGCCGACATCTACGTAGTCATAGTAATTGTGGTGGTATCGTAACTGGCTACGTCCTCCCGTTATTTCGATTATTGCCTCTCAAGACTTATATCTACCATTGTCGATGAAAAAAAAAAAAAAAATTGACACGAGTCCTGAGTTTTTTCTTTTCTTCTTCTTTATTTTTCAACGTGTGTCACGTGATATTCGAAATATCTTCGAGTCAGAAAAAAATAAGAAAGTAATAACAATTACTCGAGTTAGAAATGTTATGTTTATAATTTCGAAATGTTAAATAGAATTATTCTAACAACGAGAAATACATAATTTTATCATTGAAAATTTTAAGAGTGTTTCGTTTTCTCTTGATCTCGTCTCTCTCTCTCTCTCTCTCTCTCTCTCTCTCTCGCTCGCTCGTTTGCTCGCTCGCTCGCCCACTCTCATCTGCTTTCTTAACACGAAGATGTGAATTCGAAAGATTGCATTTCGAAGCCGGGAAGGTTGAATGTAAGCGATCCACAATCCACATTTTTCACGGATCAAAATCACGGAAAAAAAAAAAAACAAAAAAAATCCGGCCTCAAGTTTTTTCGGTCGTTCAGTATGGCGTTTCTTTAAGAAACTCGATTGTTCGCGCGTCCTTCGATCGACCGGAAGTCTGTCACGATTCATCGCGTAACGAACGAATTATATAGATAAAAAAAAAAAAAAAAAGATCAAGCACGTGCGTATACAAGTATGAATGCATGCATGGAAGAATGAATGGATAAATGAAGAGAGAAAGAAAGAGAGAGAGAGAGAGAGAGAGCGAGAAAATGAAAGAAAGAATGAGAGAGAGAGAGAGAAAGTTTAAAGAGCCACTGCCTTAGCGACAGCAGGATTTGTGCTAGAAACAAGGCCTTAGAAAGTAACAAACCAGAAACATAATTAGAGTTAAGTAAGTCTGTTGTTGTTAACAAAAAAAAAAAGAAAAAAGATAACGGTACTTAGTGAAATCAGGAGGACAAAAAATGTTGAACGTATTGTAAAACTAATTAGCAATTGTATTTAAGCGCGTAACGTAAATATATACTTAACCCCTCGTGCCCGCAATTAAATAGGCGTGTTAACGCATAGTTTTACGTAGGATTATTAAACGTCGCTTGTTGCATATGAATGAAAGAGGAAGATACGAAAAAAGACACGAAAAGACGGAAAAAAAGAGGAGAGATGGGGAAGAAGGAGGAAAATGAAGAAAGAGTGAAAAAAAAAAAAAAAAANAAAAAAAAAAAAAAAAGAAAGGAAGAAACGCGTCGCTTGTATTAAGAGAATACCGGTATTCGCGAAATTTTTTATCTTTATCTTTGATTTTGTTTTCTGCTCTTGCCTTACGAAAAAAAAAAAGAAAAAAAAGAAAAAGAAAAAAAAATTACAAAATAAAATGAAACAAAACGAAAACCAAGGAAAGAGAGGAAAACAGGACGCGTACTTACCGATCGTGTATCGATCGACGAGCGATGCCAGAGGAGAGAATCGTTGAACGGACATGTTCGATCGAAGAAAATGAGATTTCCGATAGCGCGTCGCACTCGAAACTACCACTTTGAATCCGATGTTAGCGTAGTGTACGTATCGTAAGCTGTCGACATTTATACTATGAACTATGAGTAAATTGTAGCGATCATTGTGAACATAGTTAATAGTATAGATTAGTTAACCGCACTAATTGTACCGAAAAGTGGATTACATTTAATTCCGAAAAATAATTATCGAAGTTTAATTCAATAACGCGTACATTGTACGCAAATCAAGCCGAGTTAAACGAATGGAAAGGTGATTAATAAATAAAAGTGAAAAAGAATAAAAATTTGAGAAATTGAGAGAGAGAGAGAGAGAGAGAGAGAGAGAGAGAGAGAGAGAGAGAGAATGTATGCGTATGTTGTGTGAATGTGCATGTGTGTAACAGAATGCATATATGTAAGAAAATAGAAAAAAAATTGGAAGAAAAAAGAAAAGGAAACATCATTGAAATTCAATTGATACAGATTGATTGTATCTTCGAAATGAAAGAAGAAATAAAAAAAAAAAAAATCGAATTAATTGCAAGCGAGAACGAGCGTGCGTGCATGGGCATGTATATGTATATTCGATCGGGCATGTATTCTTCAAAATGCGTTGCGGAAATAAAACAAATCTTGACATTTAAAAAATGTCAAGAAACAACTCGGCAAAAATTATTTTAATGTTTAATCATTTCATCGGTATTCGCAATTGTTGTTTTTAGTTCGTATAATTACATCGTACACTACATTCGAAGCAGTTAATTATCAAAAATGTGATTTGTCATGAGTCATGAACTTAATCATTAAAATTTGACGTATATTTTCTCGAATATTTATCCCATAAGATTATAATTAATCCATCATATTCATTAATTAAATAATCGATCTAATCTAGTTTCTAAAGTTTACTACTGTACATAGTTTCCTTATACACGTGACCTTACATATAATACACACGTGCGCGGAAACACGTGTCATTTCAACATGGACAATATTTTTTCAAATCGTTTTGTAATCGAAAAACTGTTGATACATCAATTCATCGATACGATTGAAGCGATCATTAATTTTATCGATAATTTTGAAATTGATGAAATCTAATTTCTTTTTCTTATTCTGATTTTTTAATGCTTCTATTTTATCAATAAAATTCTATCTGTCATTTTTTCTTTTACGAAAAAAAACATTTTATCTGTCTTGAAAAGGCCGAATATAATAATAATAATAAGCGCCAATTGATAACGCCACGCATTTTGGAGACATTATAAACGTGATCATAAAAATCCGCGAATTTTTTATTCTTGCGTTGCATGGATAATATACCATGAGACATACTCTAAGCGTTTATAAAACATATACCAGAAACACGCGAAACAAGGAAGAATAAGAATCTATAATTTAAAAGCAGACGCGTGAACGAGGAAAAAATGAAGAGAAAAGGGGAAAAAAGAAAAAGGAATAGTAAATATGAGTGAAAGTGGGAAAAAACCGTGTGCGTGGTATGTATATGCGTGTGTATGGGCGTGCGAACAACAGAGAGAAAGGTAGTTTGCAAAAAAAGAAACATTAGGGTTCCGTCTTTGAGTGTTGGAGGATGTTCATTTGTAATTGTTTAAATCTAACGAGAAATGTACTGTAAAACTATAAGTACTATAGGCACTAAAAATATATCATTTGTTGACATGAAAAAATAAAAAAATGATCCCAGGAATATAAATTATTTCTGACATGACGCCATAAGAATGATCATACATATAAATATATACGATCGAGAAAATATGTCAATTAGATGTTTCATCGAGTTGTTTTCGTAATTTACAGTTAATTGAACTTTCTTTTAACACTTATTCTTATCAAATAAGAAAAAGAAAAGAAAAGGATAAATATTTGAAATGAGTAAAATGCTGGTGTTCATAATAATATTTGTCCATACTCTATAACAAATTGTTCATTTCATTAGTTGATTGTCAATTTTATTTTTTACATAGTAATTAACTGAGATCTTTTTTTTTTATCTTTTTCTATTGTAATAAATATCAATGAAATTGGGGTAAGTAGAAAATCATTATTTTTAATTCTTCTTTATCCGATATACATTTATATACATACATATACACATATACACGCGCGCTTATGATAAGTATTAAAGATCAATATATCTGGAAGGATGTTAAGAAACAATTATTAAGTAAATTTGCATGAAAAATTTATATTTATGATATATACACAAATGTATTATATACAACAAAATTATAAAATTCGCATCATTATCCTCCAGTGATCATTTTATTTTTAATATTTTCAATATTATTTTTGGTATTATTTTTAAATATAAGTAATTATTTGAATAAATTGATGACAGCTATCGATCTCGTTGAAAATAGCTCTTCAAATAATTTAATAGAATTAAAATGATTGAAGCATAATGATCAAAATTTGAATGTCGATGAAGATAAATAAATAAATATGAATTAAATAAAAATAAGAAATAATTGAAATTTCATTCTTCCGGATCAATAAATTGTTATTTCCGTATTATATAACCGATTATTAATGATGGTGTTGTCGTTGCGTCGTCTTAGGAAGAATTTCCATTTTTGATTGATTTTCTGATGGTGGCAGAGATTGTTTTTTCTTTTTTTCTTCTTCAGTTTCTTTCATTGATGGAGGTGGTAGTGCATTCAGTAAACCTTGCCGAAAAGCTGCTTGTTACGTATGCCGGCTATCGTAAATTTATTAAAAAAAAATGAAAAGTATAAGAAAAAGAGAGAAAATATTACTCACCAACAGTTTCTCCTTTAAGAGATACTCCTATAATAAGAATGATAAGAATAATATTTATTATTCGAGAATTTATCATATTAAGCGTTCAAATTCCATTTAAAATTTAATTAAGAACTTACCATTTCCACGATATTTATTTAATTGTTGATAAACTTGTTTCATTCTTTCAATGTTAATTCTAGAACTTTTGCTATGATTCACCATTGGTAACGAATAGTCTTTGCCAATGATACATTTAGCTGCACGTTGCACGTTAAGTGGTGCATTCCATGGTTCGTGAATATATCTCGTGGGAAAATTTTTCAAAACTGGCAAATATCGTCTATATCAAAATAGAATACAAAAGAAAAAAATAAAAAATTATTTAAATTATTAATTTTACTATTTTACTATTGTTCAAATATCATATAATATTTATCCATTTTCGTATAAGAAATAAATCCATTTTCGTATAAGAATTAATTAAAGTTACCTAATGTAATCACCATTCGGATCGGCTTTCCTGCCAAATCTTACTGGACAATAGCAGTGAAAAAATTGTTGAAAGAAAGAGCTACACGACAACCACATCCACATTCCTGCATTTACTGACCAATCAGCATCTAGTAACAGCTCATCAAATACCTTGAAAAAGATTCAAGAAGATATATATATATATTTCTACAAATGAATGCAATGCGAATAGGAAACATGACGAGATAAACAAGCAGAAATAATTTCGTAATAAATAATGCAATATCTTGAAGAGTTCGTTAACCTTTTTTAATATGTTAATAAATGCCAGTAACAACAAACGACATTTTACCTTCATTCCTTCTTCCCAGGAGATCCAAAGGTCACCTCTGGTTAAGAAACAAGCAACTGCATGTCTAGCCAAATGATGTATCCAACCTTCTTCTCTTAGTTGAGTCATTATTGCATCGATCCAAGGAAATCCCGTCTGACCCTGTTTTTTGAAAAACAATTTTTTAAACAATCTTTTCCTTTTCTTATGAAAGATTAAGAATGCTCCACGAATTGTTTATTTATTAAAATTTTCTATTTTATACATATCTGTAAACATATACATTTAATAAATGAAAGCGAATTTCAATTTGTAATGTTTAACATAATATATTCCTGCAATGCAATAACAATGTTATATGCATTTCTCAGCGTATATATACATCTTTTTATATGTTTTTTAATATATTTTTGTATTTATATAAATACAATCTATATTATATATAGATATCTTTTTATATCTCTATATTTTTTATTTTTTTTTTTTTCTTCCATAAAAATTTTCTTGATACTTTTGAATAAATTTCTCTTTTCAGAGCATTTATTATATTTCTTAAACAAATTCATTTATTATATTTCTTAAACAATTATTTCTAAATATAAAATTGCTGCTACGTTTTTTCTTTTTTTTATAAATATTATGAAGTAAATTTTGTCTATAAATTAGACAAAGAAAGCAAATAAAAAGTTTATATATTTGTGGCGCCATCTCATGTTTGGATCATGAAAATCCGATTTGTTACTAGTAAAGCAGAATGTGCAAGGAAGTATTCGTGACGTCACAAATAAAGAGAACATTATGTGAGAAATATATAGCATTTCCCATCACTTTAAAACATCACATGGAAAATTTATTAATTATTCGTTTTCTACTCAAAATTTCTATATTTTTGAATTCACATTTTAAAGCTAGTACTTCAGACAAGTTTTTCGTGTTAATTTTAATAGGAAATTTTTTTTCAATTAATTATCTCTTAACGATTATCATAGAGAATGCAAAATATTAATTTACTATTAATCGAATGATAAACAATTTATTTATTTATTTAAACAATAGCAAAATTATGAATAAAATTTATACATGAAAATAGAGAAAGAAATAACATTTTATATGTGTATATTCGTATTTAAAAAAAAAAATAATAAGAAGCAATTAATAAAAAATATACTACACATATATCAATCATATGTCAATCATATCAATTAATATATAACGTATTAATTGTTAATAAGTAATTATTTGAAAAAAATTTTATTAAAATTGATATGAGAAACTTGTATGAAATTCTAGCTTTAAGATATAAATCTTAAAATTAGATAGAAATTTATAATAAAAAAGTAATAATTAATTAACTTTTAATGTAGCATTTTCGAAGTTGCAAATATTAGAAGCCACATAATCAAAATTAGTGGATATTTTTTTCTATTCTTTTCGCACAATATTGTTTCTTTTTTTTATGACGTCACAAATACCTCCTTGCACATTCTGTTGCGCTAATAATGAATTGGAGCTTTCATGATCCAAACACGAGATGACGCCACAGATACATAAATTTTTATTTCTTTTTTTGTCTAATTTATAAGAAACGTATTTTATATATATTATATCAAATTATATCATTTACAAATATATTTTTGTTTTATTGAGTATATATTCTGTATATTACTTTACTTAAAAATTTTATGATATACATTTTATATATTTTTATATTAAAATTGTTTAAATAAATAATTATAAAAATAGATAAATAAAGTATTATAATTAGATTTAAAAAATAATTAAAATAAATTTAATTCATATGATAATATAAAAAAGTAATATAAAAAGCAAATAAAATAGATAAATACATTAAATTTTATAAAATTTTTATAAACTATCTATTTTCAGATTATTTTTATAATTATTCTTCTATTTTCAGATTATTTTTATAATTATAAAATCGTAAAATATTATAAATTTATAATCAACATAAATTCTTAATATGCATTATAATATGCATATCGTGTATATGTATTTTAATATACGTTCAAATTCACAATCTCTACTATTTACAAAACATAAAAATATTTCAAATTCACTCACGTTTGCCCATTTAGCGAGTGCCTCAACGTTTTTATCCCAAGGAATTTGCACGCAAATTGGATTACCTTGCATACGATCAAAATTTGGATTTTTCGTTGCGGCGCAATAAAAAAATTCACGCCATAAAAGTTGGCCATGCAATGAAAGCGGCGGTACAGCTTTCTTTATCTAAAAATCGTCAACATAAAATATAAATCAAACTTTTATAATCTTTTAATCAAGTAGATAAATTAATAATTAATCATCGAGTTATTGTCCTTTTTTTTCATCTATGCATGCATGTACATTGCAATTTATATAGTTTTAAATAAAAAAATATTATCGTACTTTCTTATAGAGATCAGTGAGTTGGTAATAAAATAATCGAGTGCTCAAACATCCGAATCGTAAATAAGGTGAAAGACCGGTTTGACTAGGCAACAATGATTGCGGAGTCATTTTTGGCCTTCCGAAACTGGCCACCCATGCTTTTCTCTCTAGATGCCGTTCCAATCGTGCCAGAGCTTCACTTTCACCTCCGACCCACACAGGTGGAAGGAGACCTTCTGTGTCGAAACCTATCAATTATTAGAATATACTCCTTTATTGCGTCATTTCTCTTTTTTCCTCTATATATTCTTTGTTTTCGCTCTTACATGAGAAATAAATGCATAGATTTACCAAGTTCTTCGAGCGTCGGTACACCATAATGATCGTCATGATCTTCTTTCAAAGGAGTATATGCCGAACCTACACAAGCGGAAGTAACTGTTGGTACTGGTGGTTCCGGAGGATCCATGCTGGCAACGACGGTTTGAAATTGATGATAAGTTAACGGAGGTTTATCACCATTCCTCTCAATAATTCTAAAACAATAAGCCATAATCATTTTGTAATGTATAGATCGAACAAATATTATAAGAATTGCAATAATGCTGTTTGATAACGCAACAGTTAACATAGGTAATAATTTTGCAATGAAATTAACAAAGATGAAAAAATCAAATGTATTTTTTAAAAAAATAAAGAAATACTCGTATCTATTAATAATAAATATTAATATTATTAATATTAAGAAGAAAAACAAATTTTAAAATCGAATGTCAAAGGAAAATATTTAAACTTACTCATCCAATTTGTAAAGAGTATGTGAGACCTTTTGAACTACCGAAATACCAAGCTCTTTACAAAGTGCCGAGATATTATGATCTCGGACACGTCCGAATGGCTCTGGATCCTCTTCAAAAGTCAGATTTGTAGTACCCCATTCTTTAAACAATTTCGGCAGAGCATCTGCCGGCTGTCCTCGTATCACAAATAGTCTAGAGTTTAATTTTCTTAATGAACAATCAAGATCTTCCAAGCACTGTAGCAAAAATCTGTTGACAAATCGAATTGAAAAATATTTTCGAAATATTTTATTATTTCTTAATCGATCGATCGAAAGAAATTTGTTTAATTCATGTATGTACTGTAATAATACATATACTCACCTCCATTTATTGATACCAATGTTAGTGCTTCCAGCAAACCATGGATCCAAAACAAATACGCAACGGAAAGTGGAAGCTCCAGCAAGACCTTCCCTCAATGAAGGATTATCGTGAAGTCTGAGACCTTTGCGAAACCAATGGACCGTATGTTTTCCACCTTCATCATACAATCCCTCTTTCGGATTTATTTCGCTACTACGACTACCCGTCATTTTCCTCTTTTTGTCTTATATCCTTTGAATATAGTTTCCCTTTTCTTCTGATTCTTCCCACTCTTTTTTTTCAATATAACATATTCAACTGTACTAGCAATAAGTTTTTAAACGACAAAAATGTTTTCCTTTTTCTCTGTGCAATTTTACTGTTTCACGCGCACACACACATTTGTATATACATATAAATGCATTTTCTTTATCTTTTTGTCACTTTTTTCTTTTCTTTTTCTTTCTTTTCGTTTTTCTTCTATTGTTTCTTTTCTAAGAAAAATATAATTCGAAGGATGCGTCTCTCCTTGAATCCCTATAATCATCAAATCGATCATGCCGAGCAAAAGATCATTGTTTAAGTCATTAAAATTGGGACCCCGGATGATCGATCATTCACTCCATTAAAATTTTTCCCTGTTTATAAAAAAAAAAAAATTCGTATCTCTCAAAGATCATTTGTCCTTGATACATATTGCGCATGATTATATATCTTCTTTGTAACGATTCCGATAATTTCAGCATTTTCTTATTCTTTTCTTATTTTTTTTTCTCACTTTTCTCTTTTTTTAATTACATTTCTAAAATCTTTTATTCTTCTTTAAGCGTTAATAATTTCCCACATCAAATAGAAATTCTCTAAACAGAGCAAGATAAGGAGGCGAAGAACGAAGAGAAGCTCAATGTTGAAATATATACTGGAAAATATTTTTGAAAAAAATTTAATTTTGTTTCGTAAATATATAATCATTTATATGAATATATGTATCAAATAATTTACAAATGTGCAATGGAAAGATTGATTTGATTTAATTTGATTTGAATTTTGCATAAATATATTTTCAAAGACAAAAGAAATGAAAAAAGAAACGATAAGTCGATGCCCTGATATATATATATATATATATATACACATAAGTATGTAAGTCATATAATTGTATATTATAATTTCAATGGTTGATACATCTTCAATACTTCTACTGTATATAATAGCTAATATATGATGTATTACGGTTGATTCTACTGCACACTTTTCTCTATTCCACATAAGATGCGAGAATATAAATATATGTATATTTAATAATACATACTATACAAAAAGGAAATTGATAGTAATAGTTTAGTTTATCGTGCTTACGTTACTATTTTACGCTTACATTTGCAAAATTTTATGCGAACGTAATTCCTCTGTCCGTACATATTTATTTTCTTCTTAAATGCTTTCTTCAGAAGAAAGTAACAATTGACAAATACGAAAATATGAATGGATTATTTATTGATTTATTAAAAAATTATGAAAAAAAGTTGAAAAATTTATAGATTTTGAAATTATTGTATCGTGTCTATGACTATTATCAACTATTATTTATTTTATTTATCTGTTATACATCTTTATTTATTTTATTTATCTAATAATTTACATACCTATATTCTTGCATTTATTCTTTTTATAATAAAAAAGTGAAATAATATTTATCAATGACATAATGTGCAATATGACATTAAAATTTTTATCTTATTCAATTTAACTAACTATAAATTAATTTCAAGTTGATTCACGTAACTAGCATTCATTCCTGGTCATGCACGAATATAGACATTTATTATATAATTATGTAATTATAATACCTGTTTCTCGGAACATAAAATTTTGTGAATAGCTTCCTTATCACTTTTTCTCTATCTTTTTTAAAATTGATTTCAATAATCAATCAATTATCGATATCGTTATGAAATGTCAGGGTGCACGTCTCCAAAGATAGGTTTCCAATTCGATTTACTGCGATAAGAACCAACAGCATCAGCAATAACAAACTACGAAACTATTAAATTCTAACTTTAAAATTACGAATTTACAAATACATTTCAAATTATTATTTTTAAAAATCTATATAATTTTATAAACTTGTTGTATGAAATCCTTTAGAAATTTTTTATATAATTAAAATATTTTATATAATTATTAATTAAATAATATCAATAATGATTTCGTAATTTATATGTTTGAAAATATAAAATAATCATTAAAATATATCAAATAATGTATTGTATTATGAAATTAAATACAAATATAATAATACAATAATATAATATGAAAAAAAAATATTGACAATTGGTTTTTTTTTAATAAATTGTAATATAATTATTACAAATCTATATATCTAAAATTATTATGCCGTCGATAAAACAGAAAACATCACATTTTATCTTATATCAATGACATTTGTTTTTCGATAATTTTTGATATTTTTTTCTTCTAATAAGCAATTTTATTTAAGAAAACTTTTTATTATAAATGATAGCAATATTTAAAAATTTAAATATCGAATAAAAATAAAAAAATATAAATAAATAAACAACCGAATTAAAATACACATAATATATATAAATAATGTATGTACAATATAATATATTAATATATATATTAATATATATAATCAATTGATATTTAAATTAATAAAAAAAAATCTTTCGGATATTAAAAAAATGGCACGAATTATTAAAATTTATTTAAATATTATTTATTTTTAACAAGTCATTATTCCGCACAAAATTTTATACGAATAATTATTTTTTTTTCTTATCATCATTAACATTATAACATTTTTTATTGAAGAAAATGAAAATTATTAGATCATAAAATAATTATTTATTAACAAGAATTATCGATTTGACAATGGGTAAAAGATAAAAAGAACATACAGTTTAAAATGATTCAAATAAAGGTAAAAAATATAATTTATCGACACTAATAAAAATATGAAATTATATTAAATTCAAAATTAGCATGGAATAAAAATAAAGAATATTATGGAAAAAACACAAAAAAATGAAAAAAATATATGTACTTACAATTGTGAGCATGTATAGACATTGCAATATATCCGAATATCGTTGTTCCTTATTCGATGCACTGATCTAATCGCAACTTGAAGTAGCAACATACACACTCGGTTCAATGTTTTATATTTTCCAATAATTAAATGATCGTGTAAAGATTACAGAGATCGAATAATATAATAATACACTAATGAATTTGTAACGAATAAATATTGACGCGAAATACAAGAAACAGCAGTATTGCTCGCATATGCCAGCATACAACTTGTTCAGCAGACATAGAGCAGGAGAGATAGGCTGTAAGAGCAAGGGGAATGTGAGCCACGCCGAATGCAACGTGACAGCATACCCGCGTACCTTGCAATTGGCTAATTCAATCACGTGGTTTCTCGGTCACGTTGCACCCGTCGTGGTTTTATACGCTTCTTCTATACATATATCATTATTTTCTTTTATCTTACTATTTTTTTTCTTTTTTATCTTTACATTCACATTCTACTTCTGATTCATTCTACCATCTTTTGATTAAATATATTATGTTTTATAATATTATTTAATCAATTATACTTACTGAAATATTTTTCAGAGAATGCATACAATTTTATTATTATCATATTTATGATTGATGCAATAAACTATCAAAAAAATTTATAATCATTATTATTTGCTATTGACTATTATTTTATGATTTAACATGAAAATGGTTTGATTGATTTTAAATAAGAAACAAAGATTAAGTAAAATTGAAGATTCTTATTTTGACTTATATATATATATATATATATATATATATATTTATATATACTTATCGTGAATCATTTTTATTTTATGAAAAATATTTGAAAATCTATCACGTCTTTTTTTTTCTTACTAATCTACAGAAAAGAATGTAACTTCTATGAAAATTCATTATATAAATCTCTTAGGATATTTACCTGTAAAATAACCTTGACCGAATTGTTACGCGCATACGCATTACCATTTTTTTCAATACATATTATAGATCGATGATGTAACGCAACACAGCTGATTCAATAATGATATATCGATCATATCAATTCTACAAACAAATATTTTTCTATTTATTTAGCTATAAATTTCAATTTTGTTTCCATCTCATTTAATTTAAATTTAATATTACAAAATTAATAATGTTCAAACTATGCATGAACATAACATTTTAATTAAGATATTTAAAAAATTATTCATAAGTGTAAGTATAAGGAGAAATGCTATTTAGAATAATTACATTTGTTTATTCGTATTGATACATAAAAGGTATCAGAAAGAATAGTACTCGATAATTGCTTCCTTTCCATTACTTTCGATACATTATTTGTATCCGCATGCGATGCATATAAAAATGACTTTTTAAAAATTCATATCGCTCACCGCCATTATATTATTCTATTCTTTTGTTAATTTTTCTGTTTAATTATTCTATCCGTTTATTTTTGGATCGAGGCTATACATACTATATCTTATTTATTGATACATATTATTTGACAATATTATTTGTATGTAACCTATATGTAAATATTTTCTTTCTACATTCATAAATCTTATATTTTATTTAATTTATCCCATACATCTCTTATTTTGAAATTCTATCAATGCGTATTTTTAGTATGATTGCCCGATGAATTGTATTCAGAACAATCTCAATTCAATTTTTTTCAAAATCGTATTCTACTAGAGTATATACGATATTTAATCATATATATAAAAGTGAAAGACTATCACTATTGACGGAGTATGAAATAAATTTAATGAGGTGTAAATTTGGCGCATATTACCCTATTGTTGTGTAACAACAAATTATGACGCCATATAACTAGCGTTGAAGCACTTAATAACATATGCCTTTACAAAATTGTTTTTCAATTCTCTTTATATATTTTTCATCTATTTCTTATATCCATTTTTATTTCCATATGTTATTCATCAAAAATAATTTCCGTCAATGTTATTAATTCGTTCATATCTATAAACGAAAAAAAATCTAAATAACAATTAATAAACAATAATATATTATGTTCAAAATTTTTAAATCAATTTATATAATTTATAGTTACAATATTTCTTTTTTTGTTTTTGTATATCTAATGTATAAAATTCAGTAATAGTGCTATTTTTGATCAAAGATTTATGATCATTATAAATTTTTATACAAAAATTGGATAAATGCTCAAAAATTGAAACCGGGATAGAATAATGGAATCAATTCTTAATTCGAATGTAGTTTGGTTTTGATTTTTTTTTTTTATATTTTATTGAATATATGAAAGTGAGTGAAAGAAAAAAAGATCATAAATAAATATATTATTTGTTTCGAGATCAAAGAGAATCCTTTGTGATAGAGATGAATAGCAAATTATTCATTCAGTACAATTATCCAATTTTTATATATATATATAAATGTAATATATATATGTGTGTGTGTGTGCGCGCGCGCGCGTGTATATATATATATATACATACATACATCTTCATGATAAAAAGAGAAAAAGACAATGAAAAATATGGAAAAATATTATAAAGAAAACAATGAAAGGAATAAAAAAGAGAAAGTATGAAATGTCGCTAAGTAAGTACGTTTAACAAAAATACTTGTGTGGTGTGTGTGTGTGTGTGTGTGTGTGTGTGTGTGTGTATGTATGTGTATGTGTGGTGTGTGTGCGTGTGCGCGCGCGCGCGTGCGTGCGTGCGTGCGTGTGTGTAAAATTAATTTTTTTTATTGAAAAATTTACAAAAAAAACATGTCTATTTGTGAAATTTAATAAGCAACCAAAAAAATTAAAAAAAAATTAAGATTGAAAAGACATGTTTATGATTATTAATTATTTTATATTAATATATATTTTTACTTATAATTTTCATCATTATTAATAATATATAAAAAATTGAGGCATAAAAAAATGATCTATGAAACATATGTTAATCTTGTTCAATAATGAAAATTTATATTATAGCTACTTTCTCCTGTTTTTATGTAAGAGATAATAATATTTCAAATATGACACTAAATTGCAATAATTATTTTATTTTTCATAAAACGAATAATCTTATCTTATTAAAAATATGATACTAATATTTATTTTATATATATATTGGTTCTAAAGAGAATGATTTTTTTTAAAGCTATAATTTTAATCTCAAAATGTGTATCTTTTGAATCAGTCAAATTTGTTTCCTATTATTGTACAATTTAAAAAGAACAAAGAATAAAAGCTTGAAAATTTTTTTTTTGCTTTGAAAAACATTTTTTGCTTTGAAAAACATTTTTTGCTTTTTCAAAATAGCTTATTATTTTGTTTAAGTTATAATTTTTTAACTTTTAACATTAAATGAAGTAAAATATGTTATAAAACATATGCGTATATTTATTGAACATATCTGAATGTATTAAAACTTTTTGTTCTTTGTTCCTTATCGTATTAATATATCCAGGTACGCATGTCAAGCCACGCAAATAATTTGATTAATATAGATAAAATATTGTACAATATATAAAAGAGAAATTCAAACCTTTTTTTTATAATTTATAGGAACATCCATTTGGAAGGTTCGCGGTTTGCCGACATAACGACCAATGCTGATAGATTATTTTACACGTTTTGGAGGTCTACCACGTTTTTTAGTCTCGGTATTTATAGTATGATTGATAACTGATGACTTGGCAGTATGCGAATTCATTGCTTTTTGTACATTTCTTCTAGTATCGATTTTATACAAATCTAACTCAATCGTTTCATTCTCAATTGCTTTTTTAGATCGCCTGGTTCGACCAGCTATTCCTTCCATCTCATCAAATTTCGCTTGCAATCTTTGAGCTAATTCAAAATCTTCTTTTTCTTGTATAACTAATCTTTCCATTCGTTCTTGTTCTTTAATGATCTCTTCATCCGAAAGAACATTTTTCTCTATGATTGTATTTGTTTCAGTACTATTATTATTTTTTGATATACGTTCTTGCATTTCAATGCAAGATTCAGATGAATTACAATTATTACTATCCATATTCTCATACATTATATCTGTTCCATTATTTATAGAAATATTAGTTTGTTTTATCTTTCGTGTTGTTTTTCTTAATTCTGAATTGCTAATCCGACAGCTTAATCTTATAGAAGTGTCACTTTTTCCAGAATTTTCTGTAATAGATTGTTTTGTTGAACGTATCCTTCGCTGTTTTGATTTCGGTAAGGCAGTTTTTGTAAACTTAGTTCTATTCCTTTTTTGTATTGTAACAGGAACATCATTTGACATCTTGTATTCAAATTCTTCTTTTCTACATAATTCCTTTGTGTCTCTTCTAGTAATTTTTAAATCTGAATATGAAGAAGATATTGTATTAGTTTTCTTTTTATCTGTATTTATTTTTCTTTTCTTTATTCGTTCCGCAATATTTTCCATTGTTATTTCATCTTCTTCCTGTATCTCAGATTTTTCATTGCAAAATGTAGATGGAGAACTTATATTTTTCATTTCGATATCATTCATATATTTTGTATTTGTTGCAATCTTAATATCTTTTTTAGTCCATAAAGTTTTTTGTCGTTTAGATTTACATACCATACCATTTCTAATATGAGATTTCCAAGATTTTTGTACTTTTCTAATGTCTCTATTTTCTTCTAACATTAACTTTTTACTGATCTTAGTACCATTAATTATATTTACATTCTTAGCATAATTCTTATTAGAATCAAATGATAAATCCGAAATATATTCGAGTTTATGAATATTATCATGAGTTTGAAATTTTGTTGTTTTATTAACGATAATTTGCGATTGATTACAAGATGTTGATGGCATTTGTTCAATGTCTTCTTTATATACATCTTTCTCTTTAAAGCTCTGTTTAGTTTTACCTATAATATAAAAAATATAATTATGCTTTTTGTTTATAATTTTTTAAGTTTTATAAAAACTATATTTTAAGTATAAAATTACCTCGAAATGCACTCCAAGAACATCCAATAATTCGTTTTAAATGAATTTGAGATGGAGGTTTAGGTATAACATTAGATATTCTTTTAAGTATAGGAACAACTCTAATTAGTTTTGGATCTATTTGTCTTCCATCTGTAATATAATTGTTCAAATTATTTAAAAAAATTTGAAATTTATTGTACGTATATATATATATAAAATATGATTTAACCTGTAGACATTTTTAATGGTGTTCTTGGCATAGCTTTAATAGGTTTAAAATGATGAATTTCTTGATTAATGCTATCATGACTATCGTGACTATCGGCACTTCCCATTCTTTCATCATCATCTCCCGAAGATACACAAACTTCTACACTTAAGCTTTTTTTTTTATTGTTCACAATATCATTTGGTACATGCAACTCTTCTTTACTTTGAGTACCATATATTTTTGAAATAGATGTTCTCGGTTCCATGGAACATTTTGAAATACAAGGTTCTATTATTTTGGCTGCTGTTTGATGTTTTAAAGTTCTTGAAATAGTATTATATACAGGTATAGTTTTTTGACAACAAAATTTACTTGTAGAATCATTGCATGTACTAGACAAATCTATATTATTTTTTATATTAGATACATATCTTTCTGCACGAATTTTAGAAATTAATGCAATATTTGATCTTCTTAATCCAGAATTATCTTGAGACTCTAAAAGAGATGCTTTTTCATACTTTGAACCATGAGGCTGCAGTTTACATGAATTAATTTCAGTCATAGTAGCAACATTAAATTTTGAATTATGAGAAGTATTAGATACATTTAAAGAATTTTTATATTTAGATACTTCTTTGTGTTTGTCTTCGAGTTGTTTCTTTACTAAAGATTTAGCAAGTAATTGATCTTGAGTTAATTGAGCTAGTTTTTGTTGTTGCTCTTCCTCCTGAATTTTGCGAATTAAAGTTTCACTGGCTATCTGTTCAGCTTTTCTTTGACATCGTATTTCTTCCTCGGCCATTTGAAGTTGCACTTCATATTCCTGTCGAATTTCTCCAGCTGCACTAAGTATTTTATTAGTACCAGTATAGTCTGTATGAGAAAAATAATTTATATATTACATTTGTTTTATATATTATTGTATTTACATATTTATACAATATATTATATTATAAATCTAAATTTAAATAACATTCAAATAATATTTTCTTAATTATCAATAAATACAAGTAACACAGAAATAAAATATTTCTATGCATTATTTTTTCATTTAAAAATCATATAATTATTATAATATCAATATTATATGTATTTATGCAAGTATATTTTATATATTTTTATATGAATTAAAATTATAATATACAACTTGATTTCTTAAAGAGGTTATGATACATTTGTTTATCTTGTCTTACTGGAAACTTACCAGCATCCAAATCGACACTTCTATCGTCACCGTTATATTTATTTTCAACTTCTTTAGAAAATTTAGTTTGAATTAATTCCCAAAGACTGTTATTAACTAATGTTTCAGTCTTCGTTGCTGTACGTAGCCAAGAACCGACTCGTATTCTACACAGAGGACAACTCAAGCTATTGTGTTCGAATGTACCTTTTAAACATTTTAAACAAAGATTGTGTGTGCACGGCAATGTTACTGGTTCAATTAGAATACTTCGGCATACTGGACATATTAAATCTCTAAGACTAATATCTACTGATGATCGTGTCAAAGAAGTATCAAACAATTTTGACGTTCGCTTCAAATATGTCGCCATCTTGCCATATTCTTTAAAGAAACATAACAATCATCACATCACTTCGAGAACCGTGGTTCTCTTACTACATGGAACATTCAAGCAGACTAATCTGATTTATGGATCTTTTATAAATAAATATGCGCAGATAAATGTAATGGATTAAATATCATTTTATATTCTATATATAAATTTTTAATTATTTTTCTTAATATTTTAATTAATATTTTATAGTAATGAAATAATATTAGCTATAGCACAATAACAAAATTGAGATTGAACAATTATTAACAATTTAAAAATGAAAAAAAGTAAATAAAAAGTAAAAATTATTTTATAAATATACAAATATAGAAATAAAATTAGAAATTTTAATTTTTCAAAATCATAATCATAAATATAAATAAACATTTAAATTTATCAATATCTTTTGAAGAATTTTTATAAAATTTAAAATATATTTTTAAAAAATATTCGTAAAATCTTTCATATTTAATTACTTAAATTTAATTTTCTAGGGAATTTCATCAATTGATAAATATGTATAATAGTTTAACAATATGTAATAACTTAATAAAATTTTTAATATTAAATGAATTGCATATTCATAATTAAATACAATAATAATGTATAAAATTATTAAAGAAAATTCAACATAAATATATTATTTTTTTTCTAAATGTATCATAATTGAAAAAATATATTTTATTCTTTTTAGAATATAATATTATATTTAATTATATGATTTAGAAGGTTGGTAGAATTTAAAATCAATAGAAATATAATACAACATGTAGTAATAAAAAAGGTAATTTCCTCAATTTTGGCAAAAAGTAATAATTAGTGATATGAATACTATATAAGATATAAAGTATAAAAAGACTTAAGACGTAAAAGCAGATATAAAGTTGTAAGTCTCTTAACTCTCTTCAATCAAAACTTATATAATAGAAGTTAACGATTAATATTTAGGAGATATTATAGAATACTGTATGATATTTGAATGATATTGATATAAAAAAACTCAACGATATTTTTGCTGCAAACAAATAAAACATATAAAAATGGGACGAAAAGGTACTATTATTATAATAGCAATATATCTTCTATTTAGATAAAATTTTTATAATTTAATAATTTTATATATTTTATTTAATAATTTAATAATTTATTTATACAAATAATTAAAAATTTATTATATTTATTTTGCATGTAGGAAAGAAAAAACAAAATGTGCAGAATCATCCACACTCATCTATTTCACAAGAAAATAGCCCAGACCAACAACAAAATCCAAGTGATTTACAACAGCAATATGTTTCACAACCACAAGTACATAGTCAACACCAGCAATCGGACATTTCACATGCATGTCCAAAACAACAGTCAGATAGTCCTCAGCAACAAGCATGGACATATGATCAACAACAACAACAACATAGTTCACCGCAACAACATAGTCAAAGGCAACAGTTGAATAGTCCTCAACAACAAGCATGGAGACCTAGTCAACAACAACATAGTTCACCACAACAATTACATGGTCAAAGGCAACAGTCGAATAGTCCTCAGCAACAAGCATGGAGACTTAATCAACAACATAGTTCACCACAACAACCACATGGTCAAAGGCAACAGTCAAATAGTCCTCAGCAACAAGCATGGAGATCTAATCAACAACAACAACATAGTTCACCACAACAACCACATGGTCAAAGGCAACAGTCAAATAGTCCTCAGCAACAAGCATGGAGATCTAATCAACAACAACAACATAGTTCACCGCAACAACTACATTGTCAAAGGCAACAATCGAATAGTCCTCAGCAACAAGCATGGAGACCTAATCAGCAACAACAACATAGTTCACCGCAACAATCACATAGTCAAAGGCAACAGTCAAATAGTCCTCAGCAACAAGCATGGAGACTTAATCAACAACATAGTTCACCGCAACAACCACATAGTCAAAGACAACAATCGAATAGTCCTCAGCAACAAGCATGGAGACCTAATCCACAACATAGTTCACCGCAACAACCACATAGTGAAAGACAACAGTCGAATAGTCCTCAGCAACAAGCATGGAGACCTAATTCACAACATAGTTCACCGCAACAACCACATAGTGAAAGACAACAGTCGAATAGTCCTCAGCAACAAGCATGGAGACCTAATCCACAACATAGTTCACCGCAACAACTACATAGCCAAAGGCAACAATCGAATAGTCCTCAGCAACAAGCATGGAGATCTAACCAACAACAGCATAGCTCACCGCAACAACCACATAGTCAAAGACAACAGTCGAATAGTCCTCAGCAACAAGCATGGAGACCTAATCAACAACAACATAGTTCACCGCAACAACCACATAGTCAAAGACAACAGTCGAATAGTCCTCAGCAACAAGCATGGAGACCTAATCAACAACAACAACAACAACAACAACAACAACAACAACATAGTTCACCACAACAATCACATAGTCAAAGGCAACAGCTTAGTATCTCACATCAAGAAATAATGTCAGATAATCATCAAGAACAACAACAACCAAGTGGTTCACAAGAATTACATAGTCTGCAACAGTCATCTGTTTCACAGCTATCTCATTCAGAACAGTCACAGCAGGTATTTATACATTTATATATAGGAATGAAATTTTATAGAGAATTCATTTTTTATTTCTTTTTTTAATTTAGGAAACTGCTGTTGTTTTAAAAAAAATTGATTCATTTACACAAAATATGCATGATATGTATTTGGCTCAAATACCAAAACGAACTAATCAAATAAATAAATTAGGTAGAAATATTATTGTGGAAACAAATATGCTTAAACTCATTTTTGCACAAAATTTTCAAACAAATATTATACATTATGATGTAATCATAACACCAGATAAACCAAAATTTTTATTAAGGACTGTTTTTGAAGAATTTAGAAAAAAGCAATGTCCAAAAAGATATCCTGCATTTGATGGCAAAAAAAATGCATATAGTGCAAAAATTCTTCCTTTTGGTGATAAAAGTGTAAGTTATATGTCTATAATTTATTTCAATCATAATATATATTCAAAATTTATATTATTTAAATTTTATTTTTTTTCAAATACATATATTTATATTCAAAATATTGATTTTTTTTATTTTATTTTATTATTTTACATTATTATAATGTTTTAATTATTTTTATATATTGTAGAAGGAAGAAGAAGTAAAAATTGTCGATGCTAATACAGGAAAAGAAAGAAATTTCAAAATATATTTAAATAAAGTTGCATCTCTTGATTTATCATGGTTAACAAGTCTAAAATGTGATTTGATGGATTCTGAAAGGAATCAAAAATGTATACAAGCATTAGATATTATTTTACGTCATGGACCTGCATACCAATATACAACGGTAATTTATTTCATATTATTCATCATAAAAATAATCAAATAACTAACATAACATAAATAATTTAACTTATTATTATTAAAAGATTTATTTATATATTATACAATATGTATTATAATCATGTTAATTATACACATTACTTGTATATAATAATATATTGTTTATTGTAATTATAATAAATTTAATATATTTAAATTTTTAAATAATAATATTGATATTTAGGTTGGCAGATCACTTTTTCAACCACCAGAACCAGGAAGGATTGTATCATTATCAAATGGATTAGATTTATGGGTTGGTGTATTTCAATCTGTTATAATTGGATCTAAACCATATTTAAATATAGATGGTAATATATTAATATAATTATATCATTAATATTATTTCATATATTTAATATCTATTTTACTTTAGTTGCACATAAAGGATTTCCTAAAAGTCAATCAGTTATTGATTTGATGAAAGAACTATGTAATGTACAGGATTTAACTCCAAAAGATATAGAACGCAATCTTGTTAATATAAATAAATTTTTAAAAGGATTAAAAATTCAATATGAATTACCTGGACAACCTACTACTAAAAGAACTTATCGTGTAAATAAATTAGTTGATTCTCCAAGAGAAAATAAATTTCATTTGGAAGATCAAACTTTATATTCGGTTGAAAAATATTTTTTGCAAATTAAAAAATATTCAATAAAATATCCCAATCTGCCATGCCTTTGGGTAGGATCTCGGAATAACTCAATTTATTTACCTGTTGAGGTAAATATCAATAAAAAAATATGTACACTTAAAGTTATAATATTAATAAGTTTATTTTAACTTTATTTTTATACAGTTATGCACGATAATTGCCGGACAAGTTATACACAAAGAAATGAATAAAATTCAAACTTCTAAGATGATTCGTGAAACAGCAACTAATACACAAAAACGTAAAGAAAAAATTATGAATAGTGTAAGAGTTTTTTTAATATTTAAATACTTAAATAAAATTAATTTCTTATTATTAATAAAATATTAATTTATTTATAGTTTGCTAAGATGAATTTAAATCAGCAGCCAACTTTAATGAATGAATTTCATTTTTCTGTAAATGCAGAATTTGAAAAAGTACCAGCAAGAGTTCTAAAAGCTCCAAAATTACAGTATAAAGAAAAAGAAGTTACTGTATGTAAGGGAACATGGAAAGCAGAAAAATTTTTTAGTCCTTGTGTTTTACCAAAGAATTTATGGACTATTTTAAACTTGGATAAATTCGTGCATACTCATGATTTATATAATTTACATGAAAAACTACTTCATGGTGGTTAGTATCAAAAAAAGAAATTTCTCAATATGACATTTAAAATATTCTTTTACAATAGTATAGTATCTTAATTATTATGTTATCATCTTACTTAGGTAAGTTCTTGAACATGGAGATTGAAGAAGCACAAACTCCATTTACAAATTTAACTATTAAAACAAATATTAGTAATATTATCGAATATTTTAAAGATAAAAAGAAACAAAATATACTACTTGTAATAGTGATACTTCCAAATTTAGAGAATGCATATAGTAAGTAAATATTGATTTATATATAAAAGAAAATGCTTAAATATTTTATTTGCATAAAATATTTTATTTATTTATTTTTTTAAGGTATTGTAAAGCAAATTTCTGAACTTCAAATACATGAAGGTATTGTAACTCAATGTATAAAAAATCAAACTTTAAAAAAATTAAATGATTCAACAATTGGGAATATTCTGTTAAAAATTAATTCAAAGCTTAATGGTATTAATCATATTATTACTCCTACTAATCGGTAATATTATTTTATATTCTTTGTAATATGTAATATATATTATATATATGTAAATATATATATGTAATATATTTTCAGTCCAAATTGTCTACATAAGCCATGTATGATAATTGGTGCAGATGTGACTCATCCATCACCTGATGCTATAAATGTACCCTCAATTGCAGCTGTAAGATTTTTTTAATTTCAACCATATAAATATAATGATTCATAATGATAAAATTAATTAATGATTTATAATATAAGTGAATATGATAATTAATAATATTTTATTATATTATAGGTAGCAGCAAGTCATGATCCAAATGCTTTTAAGTATAATGTTGAAATAAGACTTCAATCACCGAGAGAAGAAATAATTCAAGATTTGGAAGAAATTATGATCATTCAATTGAAATACTTTTATACAACAACGAGACAAAAACCTCAGAAATTAATTTTTTATCGGTAAATAAATTCAAATATTAAATAAAATATTGATTTAAAATTTCAATTATATAAGTTATTTGTTATATAAGTATTGTTGTTTTCGGATATATAGAGATGGAGTAAGTGAAGGACAACTTACACAAATAATGCATAAAGAATTATCTGCAATAAAAAAAGCTATTGCACGTTTAGAGAAATCTGATGAATTAAAAATCCCAATCACATTTCTTGTAGTTCAAAAACGACATCATGTACGCCTTTTTCCAACTGATGTGAAGAATTCTGATGATAAAAATTTTAATGTACAAGCGGGAACTATTGTTGATACTGAAATTACACATCCAACTCATATAGATTTTTATCTTGTATCTCATACTAGCATACAAGTAAGTTAATATTTTACAATTAAAAATAAATGTAATCATTACATTTATAATATAAAATAAGTATTTGCATTAATACAAAATGTTTATAGGGTACTGCTAGGCCTACAAAATATAGATGTATATGCAATGAAAATCAAATGCCTGAAAATGAAATTGAACAACTTACATATTATCTTTGTCATATGTTTGCACGTTGTACAAGATCTGTTAGTTATCCTGCGCCTACATATTATGCTCATTTAGCTGCTTTTAGAGCAAGAGCATTAATACACAAGTAAGTTTATATGCATATTATTATATTTTATTATATTTACATGTTTGTCTTATAATTATGATTTTTATGTGTGTATAGTATTCCATTGAATATAGATAATCTGCAAGAGGAACAGCGGAAAAAAATGACCTTAAGAATAAATAAAAGTTCACCTATGTTTTTTGTATAAAATAAATATATTATTTTAATATGTAATATGTAATATGTAATATGTAATATTCTTGAATTTTTTGATTGCTATTTTATAATAGTATTATATAACATTTTTTTTTCAAATATAATAAAATATTTTTATAATGAATATTATTATTTTATATAATGAATATTATTATTATTAAATTATTATTTTATATGTAATTATAATAATTGTTGTTACTACTTAATACAATATTTTATTTTAAATATATTATTTTATTATATTTTACAATCCTTGATTCTCCTTCAGTGTTGTCCAATATTGTCTTTGTTATTAATCTATTTTATTTATGTAAAAATATATTTTCTTCTATAAATAATATATAAATATAAACTTATTTGCAAATAATAATAAATCAAAATTTAGAAAATATATTCGAATATAAATAAAATCGAATATATTCAATAATTCAAACATTTTTTATGTTCTCTATTTTATATAAAATATTAGTTATATAATTAATTTTTTTATAGTTGTTTTATTTATTAGTTTGAAACTAATGCATATGTATATGCAAACTTTATATGTAATATTAAACGAATATATTTTCTCATAAATCGCAATAATTAATCAATTTGAATATAAGAGCAACTAATATGGCGTATGATAGTGTTTTATATCAATGTCGTGAGCATGATATCTGTTTAAATAATTCAATTATACATTTTGAATTACACTATTAAATATATTATTTTAAATTTATTTTATAATGAAGGTTAGAATAAATATTTCACTTATTTTTATATTCATATGTGTTTATTTGACAACATAAATATAAATTTTTTTGATTGGAGAATGGTTAATTTTCTATATTTTCTATTCATATTCGTAAAATTTCAAATAATACGTTAATTTTTGGTAATGAAGTTTAAGTTTATTGCGATTCATAAGATGTGTTATAAATTTAAAAAAAAATATGGAAATTATTGTACTTGTGAAACAAAGAATATGTGCATCATAGAAGGGTATGTTCTTTTTTATTTTATTTATTTGAAATATTTATATTCAGATATATATACATATGTTTTTGTATTTTATATATATATATGTATAGATTTTTTTTAATTTTTTAATTTTTTAGTTTTTCATATATTTCATATATTTTTGATTTGTCATTAAATATTTATACATTTAATGTTAAAAATATATATATAAATACATATATATAAATAATATAATTATTTATCAATTATTATTAAAATAATTCTTAAAGGATAATTATATATATTAAATAATATAATTAATATAAATAAAATATTAAATAAAATAATTAATATAAATATAAAATTACAATTATTTTTTTCTATTGTAAATATATAAAAATAAAATAAAAAAAATAAGAATCATAAATGTGTAATGATATATAAATATATATATAACTGAAAAGGGTTATTGTATATATTCCTATTTCTGTTGATATGGTAGAAATTGATTGAAATATATTATTTTATACATATTTTAACAATAACAGTTATTTACTTATGTATATAAAATATAAATATAATGTATATAAAATTAAAAAATTTTTAAACATACAATAAATATAAATTATATATAATATAATTTATTAATTAATATAATATAATAAATATACATATAGTACAAGATACACATACATATCTTATATATATGGTATAAGATAAATATATATAAATAAGTACATACTTAAAATAAATTTTATAAAATATATATTCAAATTGTTTCTTTCAGAATCTTATTAAAATAAAGTATAGAAAGAAATCGATTAAGAACAAATACAATAATATATTTTTATTTTATAATATTTTATAAAGAATCAAATTAATAATTCATTGAAAAAAAAAATATTTATAAGAGAATAAATATATAAAAAAATTTATAAATTTTGAAATTTACAATTCTTTTTATAGGATTTCACTAAATGAATTTTTGAAAATGCATAAAATAAATTACAATAAATTACAATTATTATATATAATAATTAAAGAATTTCTGAAATTAAAGCTTATGTATATTATTTTACATATTATTCGTATATGAAATAAAATTTATTATTTAAGAATTTTATGTAAAATGATTAAATTAGTTAATTATTTATGAATTGCTTTATTTTTGTTTCATTTTAATCTTATATCTTTTCTTTCGTTTATCCTTTGCTTTCTTTCTCCTTTTTTCCTCTTTTTCTTTTCTTTTTTCTTTCTTTCTTTCTTTCTAAGTGAGTAAGTATACATATGTATACTTCCTTTATTATTCTCTTCTTTTTTCTATGTACATTTTTGTCTTTGTCTAAGGTAGGTCTCTGTTTTCGCGGATGCTTCACGTGACCAGAACGGTCTATTGATTCTTGGAGGTAGTGCATGCGCCCTCGTCCTCACGATATCTGCTGCTAAGGGGGTATGTGATACACTGGAAACGCTACTCGAATTCCGTTCGCCAACAGAAGAGACGTGAAAGGGGGCTATCATCGAATATAGACGCCAAGAGGTGAACAAGGGATAGGACAGAAAAGGGGAGCTACACGATCGTGAAAACTCAGTAACACTTCGTGGGGCGCTTGTGCATGATTTGCTTTGATCGTTATGGTTCTCGTAGTTTTTATGAGGTATATTTTATTCTTTCTCTTTATTTATTCGATTTATCTTTTTTCCTTTAGAAATTGCCAATTTTAATTATAAATCATTTTTTTCATAATTTTTCATTTTTTGTGATTATCTAGGAAAAATCTTCAAAAAGATCAATATTACTATTTATTAATTAAAAATATTTACAATGAAATATTTAAATAATTATTTGTTTTTTTTAATATAGAGAATTTTTAACAAAGCATTAATCATAATAATTGATACATTGATATTTCATGTGTATATATTACTAATATAAAAGAGTCAATTGATGAATTATGTAAAAATATGAAGTTTTTCTAAAATAAATGAATGAATGTATAATTCAGATTTATTATAATTACAATTATTATTGATCCTATTTCTCTGTAACATCTACTGAAAGTAAACAATGTTTTTATGACACTTCATATATTCTCTTACGAATAATACTTTACGATGAATTTATTTGATAAAATTTTTTTCTCCTTCTATTATTCTCATACGACGTTCCATGGTATTCATGCGAAATATCGATTGTATGATTAATGCTTTATAAGTTAGTCTAGTTACGACATCGAATTAACTAACAAATTTTAACTTGTATAATTATGTAATTAGATATTAAAAGTTTATATTTTTCTTATAAATTTACAATTATCAAAAAATTCATTTGTTAATGAATTAAAATTTTTTATATGAATATTTATGTAAACAATTTATTCAAGTGAAAGAAAGAAAGAAAGAAAAAATTTTAGAAATAATCATACTTGTATTTCTTTAATAATAAAAATAATTAATATTTAAATTAAAACATTTTAAAAGTTTTCAAATTGCCGAATTTTATAATTTTATTTAAGAAAAATTCAATAATTATTATCGAATTTTATAATCTTATAATTTAATTCGATGTAATTTGGTTTAAATCGCAAAATTTAAAGAAAATTTCTAATCTTTGTTTAATCATTTCTGTTTTACTGAATATTAAAAAAAAATATAAAAAATCTGATGAAAATGAAAAATGAAATATAAAAAAATAAATAAAATGACTAAATTATTTGTATTTTTGAAAATGATAAATTATTTTTAATTTCAGAAAGTTGCAGTAACACCTTAAGAAGACATGTGGATCATGCTAAGACAAGGAGCGAAGTGGTGACCTAAAACTCATCTTTGGTTCTGACCCTCGATGCTTACGCTACGGCTGGTGTCGACTCATTTCCTAAAACAGCCATAGGCAGTGCCCTTCGCCTTAGAGAAAGGGCTCGATGCGATGTGCCGTGATAGGGACATGAACCCAAAACTAGTCGAATTAAGCGATCTCTTTTTAACGTCGTATTGGTTATTAACGTCGCTTTAAAATTGCTCGAAAGTTCCGTGCGTGTGTCGACGAAAGACTTTTCTTCGCCGGTCCCTTTCTCCTTCGAAAATTCTGTATTCACCCGCCCTTCTAATTTCCCTAATCCATTTATATCCTTATATAGTTCCTTATTCCTTGTTTAAAAAATCATTCGCGTGAGACTAAAGATTCGTGGTTTGTTAATCACGAATATTAACATCAAGGTCAACGCCTATATCAACGATAACATCGAAAAACCAAAATTTTGAAACAGAAAACATATATATAAAATAAATTCAACGAACGAAATTCTTTATTTCAAAATTAAGTAAGCGAAAAGGTGATATATAAGGGAAACGATATAAAAGAAAGTATTATTAAATAAAATACTTGCTTTTTCACTATTTATCTTTTTTGCACTCAAGAAAGACACGCAAAACAATTTCGAAGATACTTTTCTATCAGGTATATCTTATTCACTGGAAAATCAACTGTGAAGAAGAATAAATAGTCAGAAAGTGTAACTCGAAGTAATATCCAGGCTGAACTCCATTTATTTCAACCTGTGGAAGGTCGCGAGGGAGTGCATTGTGAGTTTCCCATTCTAATGATTTCTATGGCTAACTTTGGTAAATGTTTAACGACGAATAATGCGTCATTGATATTAATCGATACACGACCTCGGCTAGAACGATAGTTACATTCTACTGTATGTATATTAAAGAAATGTATTGCATAAAAAGTTTATCAATCAAGCTACTGAGAGATTAAGTGTCGCGGCACCCATTGTTCGATTGGTATTGAATTCTTATCGACAGAAACGTAGTGTCTTCTATTAGATTTATTTTGGAACGTATTGTTGAAATAGACAGTAAAAGATTTAGAAATTATATTGCTGATAATTTAACAACGTTAAAATATACTTCATTTGTTCATTACTAATATATATATATTATATATATATTGTATATACAATTGTGTATATATATATATATATATATACATACTTCAATAATAGTAAAAGAAGATTGGATTTTATTAATTTGATTAGTGTGGCGGCGGCGGCGGCGGCGGCAGTTCGCGGTGTAGACAAAGTGGGATGAGACGTCCTC